TTTCAGTGTTATCATCGCGTGCCGCTTTGCTGGAGACTCGAGCCATGGATCAGTTGAGATCCAGGTGCTCGTCCACGCGACTTATGCCCACACTACAGAAGATGCGAATCATTCTGTGTGCTATGGTGCTTTGCGACATTCAAAACCCGTGCGTCGCGTGTCACGAAGCCCCTGCACGTTGACGCCCAACTCATAGTCGCTTTTGAGTGTCTAATTTCACGTCGTGACTTGCTGGGATGGAGTCCAGGTTTCGATGCGCTGTGAATTGGTTTACGTTTTTTTCGCTACCCGGTCGCTTTTGCCATTTACAGGTCGCCCGTCTCCACATGCGGATCATCAGCCGACGGAGGTATATGTTTATAGCGTTCCTATTGGGTGTGTAGGATTTGTCTTCGATCTTGCAGAGAACCTTTTTCAGGGATGCCAGTGGTGCATGCTAGTCGTTGGGCACACTTTTTGGGCTCAAGTGCTGTGTTGCCTTCTCGTGGAAAAAGTTCCTGCCGTCCTTTCAAGAGGAGGAAGACGGGTGGAGTTAGAGGAGGAGGAGGAGGAGGAAGAGGAGGAGGAGGAAGAGAGGGAGGACGAGGAGGAGGAGGAGCAGGAGGACGAGGAGGCAGGGGCGGAGCAGGAGCAGGAGGAGGAGGAAGAGGATGAGCAGGTACAGGAGCAGGAGCAGGAGCAGGAGCAGGAGGAAGAGGAGGAGGAGGAGGAGAGGGAGGACGAGGAGGAGGACGAGGAGGAGGAGGAGGAGGATGAGGAGGAGGAGGGGGGGAGGAATAATAATGATAGCAGTAGTATTATTATTAATACTATTCATAATCATACGAATAGTAACAATAACAATAACAATAAGACGACGAGGCGTAATGCTAGAAGCAGTAACGATAAAAACAATACGACTCCGAGTTAACATCATACTAATACTACTTATAAGACAAAAAACATAACACGCATATTATTATCGCAGAAAAATGCGACAACGAATCATAATACGAGTAGTATTCAGAATGCAACGAACATTATTAATACGATTAATTATGATAAAACAACTAAGAACAATACTAATATGATCGATGCGAATAATCTTATCATTACTACAAATAGTAGTAATACTAACACCAGTAATACTAATAGTACTGATACTCGTAGTATGAATAATACTAATACTCATGCTAATGATGATGGTAATACGAATAGGAATGCTACTACTATTGCTACGAACAAGATACACCATAATACGAGTAATGCGACGACTAGTTATATTAATACTACTATGAACATGAATACGAATAGTAATAATGATAAGACGAATATTAAGAATACTAAGAATAATAATACGAAAACGCCGCGTAATACGAATACGAATAACAATGCGAATCATAGTATGAATGAGAAACATACGAATAATCATAGCAAACCGGGTAACCATGAGAAGCACAATCATCAGAATACGACAAATAATAATGAGCAGGCTGATGCGAATGATAATAGGAATAACCTTATGAATGATAAGAAGAGTAAGACAAATGATGTAATTATTAGTAGCAAGAATAGTAATAATAAGGTTATTAGTAATAAGAAGAGGAATGCTACTAAGAACAATCATAATAATACGCAGACTGCGAATAATCATAATACGAATAAGAGGGCGAACAATAAGACTAATACTTCTAATAATCGTAGCAATACGAAATCGAAGAAGCAACATAATAATAGCATGCAGACTAACAAGACGAATCATACGAATAATACGAATGCTAATACCAAGAAAATTAAAAACAGTAAGAACAATACGAAGACGACCAATACTATCAATCAAGCTATTAAGAATCATAATATGACGAATAATACTAGGACAATAATAAGCGTACTAGCATTAAGAATGCGAGTAATAATAATAAGAGCAATACTAATATGACTACCAATAATATTAATAAGCGAATAATGTTAGTAGGAACAGCAATAACAATACTAATACCAATGATCACATTCACATTCTTTTTTAAAAAGGGCGAATGCGACTCATAGTAGTAATATTCAGAAGCAGAATGCTAAGAATACTACTGCCACTACTAAGAATAATGATATACTAATACTATTAAGAATAATAAGTCGAACGCTAAGACAACTAAGAAGACGCATATTAATACGATTCAGCATAATAATAATATTATTATTCAGAATAAACAAGAAGACTAATCATACTACTATTACCAATAAGAAGAAACGTACGAAGCGGAGGAGGGGGAGGACACGGACAAGGAGGAAGAGGAGGAGGGGGAGGAGCAGGAGGAGGAGAAGGAGGAGGAGGAGAATGAGGAGGAAGAGGAGACACACGACGAGGAGGAGGAAGAGGAGGAGGAGGGGGAAGAGGAGGAGGAGGCGGAGGAGGAGGAGGGGGAGGAGGAGGGGGAGGAGGAGGAGGAGTAGGAGGAGGAGGAGGAAACGGTGCGGAGGAGGGGGAGGGGGAAGAGGAGGAACATGAGGAAGAGGGCGAGGAGGAGGAGGAGGAGGAGGAGGAGGAGGAGGAGGAGGAGGAGGAGGAGGAGAGGAGGGGGAAGAGAGGAAGAGGAGAGGAAAGAGGAGAGGAAGAGGAGGAGGAAGGAGGAGAGGAGGAGGAGGAGGAGGAGAAGGAAGAGGAAGAGGGAAAAGGAGGAGGAGGAGGAGGAGGAGGAGGAGGAGGAGGGAGGGAGGGAGGAAGAAGAGTAGGAGGAGGAGGAGGAGGAGGAGGAGGACGTGCAGGAGGAGGAGGTGGAGGGAGGAGGAGGAGGAGGAGGAGGAGGGGGAGGAGGGGGATGCGGAGGGGGAAGGAGGAGGAGGAGGAGGAGGAGAGGAGGAGGAGGAGGAGGAGGAGGAGGAGAGGAGGAGAGAGAGGAGGAGAGAAAGGGGAGGAGGAGGAGGACGAGGAGGAAAAGGAGGAGGAGGAGGAGGAGGAGGACCACGAGGGCGGGGAGGAGGAGGAGGAGGAGGAGGAGGAGGAGGAGGAGGAGGCGGAAGCGGATGCGGATGCGGAGGAGGTGGAAGGAGGAGGACGAGGAGGAGGAGGAGGAAATCATGGAGGAGGAGGAGGAAGAGGAGGAAGAGGAGGAGGAAGAGGAGGCGGAGGAGGAGGATGAGGAAGAGGAGGAGGAGGAAGAGGAGGAGGAGTAGAAATGAGGAGGAGGAGGAGGCAGTTGACGAAGACGTGCAATACTATCAAGCATATTAAGCATAGCAGTAGTAATAAGCATAATACTGCTAGTATTACTACTAGTGATGATATTGTAAGACTCGGAAGAAGACTGATACTCGTAATACTACAACTACTGATGCAACGGTTGATACGAATCTCAATGCTACTAAGCAGAAACATGCTCACACACACTAATACTAATCATACTAAGAAGCATATTCTTACACGATGACGATCGCAATACTAGAATTACGAAGGCGACGCCTCATAGTCATAGTTATAATAACCAGCCCGACACATTAATAGAACTAAGCAGAAACAT